TCTCTCTCTGTCTCTCTGTCTCTCTCTCTCTCTCTCTCTCTCACACACACACACACACACCAATCTATCTGATGGACATAGGTGCAAAAATTTCCAATATAATACTGGCAATCTGAACTCAATATCATAGCAAAAAGATCATTCACCCTGATCAAGTTGATTTCACTCCAGTGATTTTAGGGATGGCTAAACCTACAAGAATCAATAGATGTCATTCATGATATCAGTAAACCCAAAGACAGAAATCACAAGTTCACCCCAATAGACACAGAAAAGGCCCTTGATGATCACATTTCTTTGCCAGTTTAACTGGAAAATGAAAAAAACTATGACACTGAGTTGGAGAGGTGGCTCAGCAGGTAAGCACTTGCCGTGCCAGCCTGGTGACCTGAGTTTGATCCTGGGACCCACAGTAAGATAGAAGCAGCTCTGAGAAGTTGTCCTCTGACTGCCATAGGAACACAGTGGTGTTCAAGTGTCTGCAAGTCACATGCACATAACCTTGCACATACACAATAATGGTAAATTAAAAATCAAACCCGTGAAATCATTGCTTTGCCCCCAAGTTTTTCTGTTTCTGAGTCACTAAATGTGTCTGGTTCATATGCATAATTCTCAGTTCCACGTGAATCTTCACAATCAGAATTAAGACCCTTGGCTGCCCTTACAAATTCCAACCACCCAGTCCCCAGTCAATTCCAGTCTGCCCCCTTGTGTGTACTTCCCAGTGTGAACACGGCTCAGATGGTTTCATGTGGCATAGTTAGCTGTTTATGACCCCATGGGTCCGTGATTATAAAATTTAACAGCTGGCATCTTTGTGCTTTCATTTTTTCCTCTTGCAGTTGAAAAAGGCCGGCAGAAGAATCCCAGAAGCCTGTGCATCCAGACCCAGACAGCTCCAGATGTGCTGTCCTCCGAAAGAGCACTTGAGTTGGCTCAATGCAAGACAAAATGTGAAAACCAAAGCAGAGTCATCCTGCACCTCAAGCAGCTTCTTTCCTCTGGCAATACCAAGTCTGAAGCATTAACAGTTGTGATCCAGCACCTCCTGTCCGAGGTAGGGGTGCAAACCCTCTGCAGTGGGGAAGGAGGGCTCAACTCACAGTTCTCCTACAAATGTGCTTAAGTTAATGATTGGAAGATGGCACTGGCCATCTAATCTAGGACTCCCTCCCCCCCCCTCTCTCTCTCTGTGTGTGTGTGTGTGTGTGTGTGTGTGTGTGTGTGTGTGTTTGTGTGTGTGTATGACGTGGCTACATGCACACTCATGTGTATGATATGTGCATGCAGGTAGAGACTAGAGAGTGACCTCATTTATTCCCCAGGAACCATCTACTTTGAGACAGGGTTTCTCATTGGCATGAAGCCCTCCAAGTTGGCCATGTTAGCTAGCAACAAGGCCCAGAGGTCCACTTGTCTCCACTTTGCCCACTGCTCCAGCACTTGAAACAAAGCCTGGCTTTTGTTGTTGTTTTGCTTTTCTAGACAGGGTTTCTCTTTGTAACCCTGGCTGCCCCAAAACTCACTTTGTAGACCAGGCTGGCCTTGAACTCACAGAGATCTGCCTGCCTCCTCCTTGAGCTTTGGAATTAAAGGTGGGTGACACCTCCACCCACCATGCCTGGCTTTTTTTTTTTTTTAACATGAGAGTCCTAGAGATTAAACTCAGGACTTTATGCTTTATAAGGCTAGTGTGACTGAACTATCTCCAGAACTCAAGCCATACTCTTATCACTCACTTCATACTTGTACCAGTCTTTAAAATTTGGGATTACAATAATGTTCTATTGTCTCCCCTCCCTCTTTTCCTCCCTCCCTTTGTCTTTGTGTGTAGTGTATAAGCATGGGTACATATGGGGGCAGGGACCCATGCATGCAGAAGCAAGAGTGGTCTGGTCCTCTGTTCTCCACCTGACTTTTTTAGTCAGGGTCTCTCACTGAACCTGAAACTGGAAGTTTCCCCCAGGCTGGCAGGCTAGTGATCTCCCAGGATCCACTTGTCTCTATCTCCCAAATGCTAAAGCTATAGGCATACGCTACCATGCCTGACTTTTTACATGGGTATTGAAGATTTGAACTAGGGTCCTCTTGCTTTTACAGCAAGCACTCCTAACCACTGAGCTATCTCCTGAGCCTGTAAATATTTTCTTAGTATTCCCCTTTCCCTTCCAGAGTCTTTTCAGTGGAAACAGTAGTGAAAAGATAATTGCCGGTAGTACTTTTTCCCATTTCATTAGTGCTTTGGAAAATGAGGTTGCCCTTCCTCCCAAGGTCATCCTGTGTAAACCTGGCTGATCCCTGGGTTCTGGTAGCACTTCTATGCTTCCGTCCTTGTCTCTGTAGTCCATCTCAAGCGCTGCTAACACTGCTCCTCCACAGAGCACCCCATAAATCTCTGGTGGTTCTCCACTGTGCACAGATGAAGTGATGTGGTAGCCAGGGTTCACAGAAAAATATTGACCATCTGTAAAATAACCACTGTGAGCTGAGCAATTGGTGTGAACTACACGTAGTATTTAAAGATTCAGAATGAAAAAGAACATATTAATGTGTTGGATATTTTATGTTGATTAGATTGAAATGGGATTGTATATGTTTGAGCTGAATTTAAAAAAAAACTGCTGAAATTAACTTTTAAAAAATATGCCTACTAGGAAATTATTAAATTATGTCTATTTGTTAGGAATGGTTCTGATTTATTAGCTTGAACTACAGAACTTCATAATTTGACACTGTTACCCTTTTGTATGTAACCCTCACTACCCAATTGCTCAGCTGCATATTAGGGAGTTGAAAGAAAAGCAAGATGGAGTTCATATTTGTTAATAATACCTGACACTTAGTAAGTACTTAAATGCTTCACCCAAACAATAACGAATGGGAGTTTACAAATAGGCAAATCAAAGCACAGAGTTCAGTGACTCCAGAAAGCCAGGCGTGTTGATCCCAACTGCTGCTTTCCACAGATTCCTGCACACAGATCCTAAGTGAGCTTCGTTGCATCATGACCTGCACCCAGTGCAAACAGGCTGATTTTACAGATGGTGAAAGTCAAATGCTACCTGAGTAAAGAAGGTAGTCTTCGCTGCTCCTCAGTGAGCAAAGGTCCAGGACTGTGTTTGAAGGGAGCAGGAATCTGCCATTCAACTGTCTTCATCTCTAACAGGTTCTTCTGGCAGGAGCATCTCAGGGAATATGCAAACGTGATGTTAATAAGAGATCTTTTGGCCCAGATGAATTTGGGTTATAAACTCAAGCCATGTAGTTCATCAGGTGTTCATTGAGGACAGAATATATGGAGCCACGGATTAAAATGGCCCTGGGTTCTGTCTGTTAAGTGGACTTTGTTAGTCCACAGCATGAAAAGCTCTTAATGAGTTTCAAGAACTTTTTTTTAAAAAGTTCTCATATGTGTTCATGATTACTTGGCCCCACTGCTATTGGATGAGACAGGACATCAGGGCAGGAAGCAAGTGGCTCATGCCATAGGAGACAGGAGGGGAGAATGATACAGGAAGAGACCGGGCACAAAGTATACCCTTTAATGCTTCACTTTAGGTAACTTATGCCCTCCAACCAGGTTGCACCTCCTAATAGCTTATTCAGCTCTGAGCTCATCTGTGGAGTAGCCCACTGGTGAAGTAGACATCCTTGTGATCCAGTCGTGTCTTAACAGCGCTACCTTCTACCCACCCTCTGGACTCCAGGAACTTACATTTTTAAAAAAATTTTCTATATGATAGACCCTCGCTCTGCTTGTTTCTGCTTCTTTGTGTATATTTTTTTTATGTGTTTGATACACGTACAACTATCCGCGCATCACTTAGTTGCAGTGCCCACAGAAGCCAGCAGAGGGCGTCAGATCCCCAGGAACTGGAATTGCAGACAGTTGCAAACTGCTATGTAGCTGCTAGGAATTGAGCCTGGGTCCTCTGGAAGAGCAGCCAAGTGCCCTTACCATTGAGTCATTTCTCCTTTTTGTAAGATAGAGGTTCATTTACCACAGGGTCTGCCTCCAGTTCTTTCTTGTACACCCACCCCAAGAATTGTAGGAGACTGAGCATACCTGAGTGAACAAAGTGAAGGGAGAGGATGGGACCCAGATATATTCTACAAGATGCACACAAAATCCTTTTTTAAATATTCTTCACCCCTTGTTTTATAACCAATCGGTGAATGTTCGCTGGTTGCCCAATGTGTACAAGGCACTGTTATGAAACAGCTGAAAGGAAAAGATGGGGGAAGTTAAGCAATTAAAATTCCTTTAACCCTTTACTTCTTTAGTGCCCTTTAGTGAAACATTTGGACACTGTTAACCAGCATTGGGGTTAGTAACCCCAGAGTATTCATTAAAGGGTCTCTGGGCGGATTTCTTGATAAGATAAAACAAGACCAAATAACCAAATAGTTTTTTTTTTTTTAACATTTTTTAAAAAGACTTTATTTATTCATTATGCATACAGTCTTCTGTCTGCATGCCAGTAGAGGGCACCAGATCTCATTCAAAGGTGGTTGTAAGCCACCATGTGGTTGCCGGGAATTGAACTCAGGACCTCTGGAAAAGCAGTCAGTGCTCTTAACTGCTGAGCCATCTCTCCAGCCCCAACCAAATAGTTTTTATTTTTTTATTTTTTGCAAGTAGAAACTAACCTAGGCTAGCACTTTTTAAAAAGAAAAATGAAAATATAAAAGGGAGTTGGATTTTAAATGAGTCTAGGATTAAAAGAGAAAAAAAAAATGTCCAAGGTGATAAAAAGCACTGTGGAGATGACATGGAGGAAATCAGACTAGCCACGTCCAAACTGTCTGATGCAGTTCTTTCCTGTAAAATTTCCTGTGTTGAGTACCTGAGTGAACAAAGTGAAGGGAGAGGATGGGACCCAGATATATTCTACAAGATGCACACAAAATCCCTGTGTAAATATTCTTCACCCCTTGTTTTATAACCAATCGGTGAATGTTCGCTGGTTGCCCAATGTGTACAAGCCAGCTGAGTTCAGGCACACCACACCAGTGGATGCCAGCCAGCCACTAAGTGCTTGCATCCCAGCGACCCTAATTAAATTATGGAGAATCCCATTTTGTTTCCATAGAGCACTTCATATATTTAATGCATGAGTATGAGAGCATCTTTGGAACCCATCTTGCTCCCCAGTCTCATTGTGTATTGGGGGAGGGGTCCCCATGTTATAGTTCAAAGATAATCAAATAAACGTCTTCTCTGGACTATAAATGGTTGATCATTTATGACAGAGACACTAACCTAAGCAGCTGAAGAAAAAAAATCTGTCTCTAACTGGCATACTGTATTTTATCATCTGGGAATAAATAAGTACATTTAAAGGGCAAGCAAACCCAGAAAGCTGTGCAGAAACTAACAGTATGTCTGCTACAGTGTGAATTCTGTGGTGTGCATTTTGAGTAGATCATATTTAACACCCCGGGTTTCCCACGATCCTGTGCTGTTTCCCCTCAGATGATGTCATCTGCTCTGATTGATGACGAAAGAATTGTCCCAGGACATTTGCACCCTAAGTTCTAAGCTTCTTGAAAGCAATAGCTAGCTATGTCTTAATTTTCTTACATATTATTATGGTGTATAATATGAAATGTACTTAGTTGATAACTGAGTAATAACTTATAATTCAGAAAGATAAATGTCCCTTCTGGATATTTGGGGGTGGGATGATGCATCTGACATTTAACTCTCCAGAAATGTGTGTAAGGTGAGTCAAATTAAGAAAGCCAGGCATCCAAAGAGGGTAGCATTGAGAAGATCTTGGAGGATCAGCTTTTGACTAAATATAGATGAGCGAGGGACAGTGGGCATGAGCTGGACAACTCCAGTCTATGGGAAAACACACACACACACACACACACACACACACACGTGGTGGTGGTGGTGGTGGTGGTGGTGGTTGTAATACACTCAACAGGAGGCTCCTTGGAGGAAGGGAGTTTATATGTATAAAGAAGATGGGATAATAGCCCTCTAGGGGGTAAAGAAATCCCTTCCTTGGTTCAGTATTGGGCTCTGATGAACCAGGACTAGAGCAAAGGTGATGGGAAAAGCAAAGTTCAGAGGGTTAGAAAGAAACCCATTGTGTAGGAAGAGTGAGCTGGCTGGGGCCCTCTGCCACCCCCCCCCCCAAAGTTCTGGCCATCAAGGCAGAGTGACAAATGACCTTGATATCCTCTTGCTGTTTAGAACTGGCAGATGCCTGAGGATGGTTTAGGGCAGTGGAGTTAGGAGAGGTTTCCATATTCACACTGAAATCTATTGACTCCGAAACTCCATGAATAAAGTAACCACCCTCTCGTGTTTGTGGAAGTATGCGTGGCTTTGCCAAAGTTCTCTGAAGATTAGCATCTGTAGCCTTAGATTTGCAATCTTCCTTGCAGTTTTCACGCCCCTGAGAGAAGAGAAAATGTTCTTGCCTTTCACCCCCTTCTGTTTGCAACTTGGCTGCTGTGGGGATGGGGACTCTGAAGCAAGCTCACAGTTTCACAGTTGCTGTGCATGTCTAACAGCACTGCCCCCTGCTTTTCTTTGACTCTGGTGGCAGAACATAACGTTTATCCGAAGTGTGTGAATAAAATTAAGGCTTAAGTCAGGGTGTGGTGGCACATTCCTATAATCCCAGAACTGGGGAGTGTTGGGCAGGGGAAAGCAAGTATGAGGGTAACAATAAGGGGAGAAAGAAAAAAGAGAAGAACATTGTATTTGTGGGTTGTTCTGTAATTTTTGCATTAGAAAAGCAATTATTATTTTTGAAACTTGGAGTTCCTGTTTGGTGATTTCAGCACAACTTTAAAAAACTTTTAGGATTCCATCAAGCATTAATGTGCAAATGTGCTGGTGGAAAAATGTACTTTAAAAAATCAGTCACTATTGCCATTCATATGTAAAGATACTGAGGGACTAGTGCAATAAAAATGATCAAATATGTGTGATCTCCAACTCCCAGTTCAGCACTTCCGGTATCTAAAACATCAATGAACTGCACTCTATTGTAATGTCATCTAAAATTCTAAATCACAGCAGGGCCCTCTGATTGCCCTTCACCTAGTTCATCATGCCTTTAGTGTATGGGCTTTGAAGAATAAGTTTCCCTTTTCTATTAGTAAGTGTGATAATCTAATGACCTCAATTAGAGAAGGGAGTAAAAAAGGCTCACGCGTCTAAAAATAACTCCATTATCCGCGCAGAGAGGGTCCCGATTCTGTTTCCTCCGCCCCAGCTGATATTAAGTAAGTGGCAATCGATCAGGGTAATGTCTGGCTCTCATTTCTCATAAATGAAGGGCTGTGGCTTTAAGTAATCGCGGGCTGCCTATGCCAGAGGCAGGAGCTGCAGTATCAGCTTCTGTGGAGAGAGGAGAGCCTGAGGCAGTAACCTGCAGGACGGGAGGGAAGGCCACCAGGGCCAATGGCGCTCCTCCGGGTTGAGCTTTGAATGTGGGCAGACCCGACCGGTGGGAGGCGGGGCCACCTGTGCACTTCTCGGACAGTGCAGGGGGTAGGGGAGCTGGCGACCGAAGCTGGAAAATGGGCTGCCCCAGCAGCAAAATGTGCCTCTCTCCTCCATGTGCAGCAACAAGGGTAATTGGTATTTGTTTACAGGGTTTTTCTGGAAGGGTGTCAGGGACTAATGCAGACCCTGTCTGGAACCAGGGGTAAGAGTTTTGCCTCAGAAGCAACTCTGGCCGGCAGAGGCCAGTCTCATGATCTCTGCATTACTGTGATCCCAATGCGGGAGCCCCACATGGGGGTGAGCCCAAGAAGGGCATTTTCAGAGACAGACCTCGGAAATCTCCTGACTTCTTAGTTCCACCCTGGTCCCAGGCAATCTATGCCTTGAGAAACTGTGTCTAATGATTGTGTTTGTATGAGTATGTGTGGATGTGTGATTGCTACAGACCTGCAGGTAACTCAAAAAATCATTCTTTATCGAAAGATTGATACTTGCTTTTTTTTTTTTAAGAGAAAAAACAAAAACAAACAAAAACCATTGAAACAGCTTCCTGCTTGCCTTTACTTCTGCAAAATCTATTTAGAACTATAGTTGCTCCATGATGTAGTTAGTAATCCTTGGAAACTGGTGTGTAGCTGGGCAAAATCAATTTAATTTCATCTTTCAGAGATTAAATTTGGCTTGTCCCAGAACGAACTTTTTTTTTCTTGTTTAGAGTATAGAATTGGCCTTCTAATAAAACTTTTTTATTTGTGGGTATGGGACAAAGTCCATATAAGTGCCTATGTTTAGAACATTAAATATTTATCTTAAACTGATTGGGCCCTTATTGCCCTTGGATGGGGAGAATGCATTACGTCTTAAGTACAGTATACATTAGCTGAAAGGGTCTATGAATCTGTAGTGAGCGCCAGGCACAAAGCAAAGATTTCTAAATGAGCCATTCAGTCCCCAAAGGAAAGTTGCCCCAGGACCTGGGAAAATACAGGTTTTTAAAACATGAATTTCCTTCAGGGCAAAGGGACATCTGTGTTTTTGCTTTGTTTTTAATGACACAAGCTGTTAGCTTAAGTGATTCATATCTTGGCTTCTGGATTCTGTGTCTGGTTTGCCTAGCAATGACAAAATGTGTGACTTACTGAAAAAGGGACCCTCTTCAAAACCCAAGTAACCTGATGTGTGTTTTCCACAGCGGGAGGAAGCGCTGAAGCAACACAAAAACCTCTCTCAAGAACTTGTCAACCTCCGGGGAGAGCTAGGTAAGAGCTTGTTTTCCTCCGTTGGTAAAGTTTACTGCAATTGACAAATATGTTCTTCCCTCCTGGCTCTGTGGCCAGAGTTACAGGCTGGCAGCTGTTACTTCTCCCTCTTGTATCTGTGCAAACACTTACTATCGACATTGCTTTTGAATCTTGGCAGTGTGACCCCAAGTTCACAGAATTCCTGGCACTGGTGTCTGAGTAATCTAACCGAGCTTTCTGATGACCAAAGCATGCTTCATACCGAGTAGACAGGGGCAGAGTGATTTTCTGTGATGTGTGCATTCCTGTTGGATAATTGCATCATGCCATTTTTATTTTATTTTATTTTTTTGAAACCACTTTTTATATTAAACATGTTAAAAAAAAAGGGTCGCTTTCTCTGGTAAGACCTTATGTGTCTGGGGGATGGTGTTTCGAATTTACAAATTAAAAGGATGCTGCATATTAGGGCTACCCATCAGAACAAGGACATTCTATGCTACTCAGGTAGTCAGGATAGGCTTGGGAGGGATATTTACCAACTTCAGGGGCAGGGTAGTGTGCCTGTAGCACTCAGTAGTTAAGTCTTATTGTTTGCTGTTGGAGTTCTTGTCTCTTTTGGAGAGCCTAACATTTGAAGGACAAAGATAATAGTGTGTTACCCTTTCTACCTCAGCTACAGTGCTCTGTGTGCACCCCACCCCCACCCCACTCCTGATCTGTGGGGGACCACTCAGCCTAGGAATTGGCTTCTTGATTTAGCATCAGCTAGATCTGGAGATGTTCAGCCAGAGGTCACTTGCCTTGTCCCCCGCTTTGCTTGCTGATGGGCTGTTGAGGAGAGTGTGTATAGTGTAAGTTCTTCAAAGCGAGCAGCTGGAGCTAGAGCAAATTTTGTTCATTTAATTCTCAAAGAATCTTGTTTTTCTCGGAGAACCAGACCGCAGTTTAATCACTGCCAGTCTGATTTGCTGGACTGGAATATCTGTCAACAACTCCACTAGTCCAACCATGGTGAAGGTCAAGGGCCAGTGCACTGGGCAGGGGGTCAAAAGTATGCCCTTCCCTATTTCTTGTACCTCCCAGTGGGAGCTGAGACCAATTCCTACATGGCTAACCCTTGAGATTCACAGCAGTTAGGTAAGCCATCCGTGCTGGCATAAGGGTATAGAAAGGAAGGACCCGTGTGGAAAAGCAATGTTAAGACAGATGAAAGTGCAGACCCTGGGTGGTAGGAGAGATCTTGTGAACCAGGACAGAAGCCACAGCATGGGCGGCCCTGATCTCAGACGCTGTGAAGGCAGTCCCCTGTCTAATTTGACTTGGCTGCCCCCCATTTGGTTACTCAGTGACCAGCTCAATTTGTCTGTCTGCACCTTAAGTATTGTAATGGATATAAAGTTAGGAGATGAGAAAAGAGGGCTTTTCATGGGGTTTCAGAGTTCATCAGATCTCAGTGGAGGTGGAGATGAGCCCTCCTCCTTCAGGCTTCTATTCTCCAGGAGAAGTCAGGACAAGACAGCAGGGGACACTGAGCTCCCATTGCCTCTGCTTTGAATGGTGAGCTTCTTGTCACAATTCAACAGTGTAAATTGAAGCCCCGGTCAGCAGCACTTCCAGTTATCACACAGCCTGTCAGGAAACAGCCATCCTTTGTACTCTCACCTTTCCTCCTGAGATAACGAGAATGTGGCCTGGTGTGTTTTTCCTGCCACTGTCAGGATGTTATGGGTGGCCTGTCCATATTGTTTTGTCACCCTAGGCTGGACTTGGGAAATTGTCATTTCTGCTAACTACTGAGTCAAGCCCCAAGTTCTAGTGCTTGCTGAAGTACCAGCAGAAGGCATTTGGGGAAAAGTTTGGTTTGGCCAGCGAATAGAAGAGAATTCTTTAAACAAATATAATAAAGCTGGCTAGAGAAAGTAATTGAAGCTTTCAGCTGGATTTGTTGAGTGGGCCAGAATGGAAAAAGATAGTTTATATATCAAAGCTCAAATCTCAGTTTTGTTTTCCAATTTGAGGCAATAAAATGAGTAGGACCATGGCAGTTAGAATCCTTAAGTTGGGGGCTGGGTGGCCCAGGGCCTGTCAGGTCACATCTCTCCTGCCCCAGTTTTATTCTCTCTAAATAAAGTAACAGAACACATGTGTGTGCCCCAAGGATGATGAAGAGGCTCACGTGGGGTAAAACATTGTAAAGCATCCGTGTTGTGGTGTTACCTGGTGCTAACCATACCTACTGGGATGTCTGCAGCTTTGTGTTAATGCTATAGTGTATGCCTGTAATCCCAGTAGTGGGGAGGCCAAGCAAGAGGATTGCTTCGAGTGACAGGCCAGCCTAAGCTACATAGTGAGACCCTGACACACATATGCACTCGAGTACACACACACCACACACACACACACACACACACACACACACACACACACTCCCCACAGCTGTGTAGTGGAGATACTATTAGAAATCCCCCAGGACAGGTCTATCACACCCAAATGTAAGTGAGGCCCGACCAGTGAGTTGCTGCTATATTGGCATTTAATGTTGGCTTAGTGGTGTAGGTTTTTATTCATACGCTCCCAGTGAGGAATGACTTAACTTTTTTTGAGTACATAGAGTTTTCACTTTAGTGACTTTGAATTCTGTGTATTTTGCTGGATTGGTGTGAAGTTTGAAAAGAGTAGTAAAATATATGAGGTTGTGGCCTGGTATCTAACACTTTATAGACAGCTTAAGCAAGAGCTGCTGTCTTTCAACTTTACCTCCATCATGGAAGTAGCCACCTCTTCCCTCAGAATAACCTGGGGTGTCAATGGTCAGCTGGGTAATCTTTCTTTCCCTTCTCCCTAAAAACTGGGACAAGATTCGCAAACCGCTAAGAATTATGGGGGCAAGGGGAGACAACTCATAAACCCTAGAACACTGCAATTCAAACAGTCTGTGCTTTTGTCCTTGAATCTAACAGCTCCCTTCCATCTACACCATCCACAGACTCTGGATGCCCTCTCATGTGGTACCTCTTCCCAAGCTAAACTTTCTCACCTGGCAGGCAATCAGCATGTTTTTGTTTTTTTGTTTTTTCCTTATCTGACCCACATCCCTTCATGGAAAGCCTATTTGTTTGGGCATACTTCTTCAAGAAATCCCTCCGTCTACCCAGAACAGAACCATGAGGCTCATCCTACACCAGTGATCTCATACACCTTGCACACAGATGTATTTACTGTATCTTGTGGTCTTTTGTTATCTTCAGACACTATGGTCCTTAATGGAGGAGAGTCTTTCCTGGTTCCTCCAAAAAAAAAAAAATACATAAATAAAAAAAAAAAGAAATCATAATGAACTCTCCATTTGTATAGCTTACTGATGTTTATTGACATCTGAGAGTTTATGATTTATAGACCAATGATAAAAAAGAAAATACCCTTATATTCCTACTACTGGCATAATTTTTGTGTAGCCCCTTGCCTTTGTTTATAGAATATATATAACTTTGTACCACCATTGTTTCAGTAAAGTGTATTTTATACACAATAAATTTCCATCTCACTTGTGTTTGAGACAGGGCAGCACTATGTAGACTAGGCTGGCTTTGAACTTGGTCTTTGTATCTCTGTCTGTCCTATTGTCTCCCTCCCCCTTCAGTTACATTTGTGTGTGTATCCACATGTGTGTGCACATGTGTTGAGGTCAGAGGACAGCTTGTGGCATTGTAGGATTGGTTTCTCCCCTTCCATACTGTGAGTTCCAGCAATGGAACTCTGGTCCTTAGGTTTGGTGGCAAGCCTGATTCGCTGAGCTATCTAGCCAGTCCATCAGTTTTAACAGATACTCATACAACCTAAACTTGCACGAAAATTTCTGTAATCCCAGAAGACTCCCTTAAGCCTCGCCTCCCTTAGAAGCAAATACTTGTCTCTTCCAGACTTTCATGGAAATGAAGGTGTAGTGCTCTCATTCAAGTCTGGCTTCTTTGACAGAGGACCGTGCTTCTGAGGTGTTTCCCTGTGTCTTTGGATTCTTTTAACAAGCCCGGAACTTTCTCGTGTCACAACCTGGAGCCTCCCCTGAAGAAATTATTAATGATTGTGAACCATCTATAGCAGTGGTTCTCAACCTGTGGGTCACAACCCCTGTGGGGGTCAAATGACCCTTTCACAGGAGTCACATATCTGATACTTTATGATTCACAGCAGTAGAAAAAAAAATCAGAGCTATGAAGTAGTAACAAAAATAATTTTATGGTCGGGGGTCACCACAACATGAGGAACTGTATTAAAGGATTTCCTCATTAGGAAGGTTGAGAACCACTGATCCTATAGAGTGGTATAGCACTAAGGCCATACATGGTCATGATTCATGGGTGTATTTTTTATGCCCATCCTTCCTGAGCTGCAGGTGTGTGCTGAGAGGCACAGCCTCTAAGTGAGCCAGCCCAGTGAGATGACACTTTGTCCTGGATGGCTCATTGCTTCCTGGGTCCTCTGTATGTCTTCTTACTCAATCCCATATGTGTCCCTCAGTGTTCCAAGAGGCATCAGTTGAGTCACTCAGTACCCAGGACAGCCACTGACTCACACTCCTTACATCACCTTCTGTTATCCACACGTATATCAGTCTGTGTCCTAAATCTTTCTCAGACCTGTCCTTCCTCAGCATTCCTGAAGCCTGAATTTCTTCCCTGGAGATACTGCCACAACTACCCAACAGGTGGCCTGTCTTACTATCCAGTCACACGTCCCTTTCCCATGGACTCCAAAGACTGCACTTGTAAACCCGGCATTTTAGCCCCCGCTGCCTTTTTTGCTTTGTTTTTTGATTTGTTTAGAGCCTGACTTTGTGTCTAGGTGCTCATTCCCCTTATTCACACCTGGTTTCCTTCAGGTCTCGGGGGGAGTCTAATTCATGTGTCTATCTGCCTCTTCTGCATGCACTACCTTTCTGCTGAAATGCTTTCTCCTCTTTGTGCTACCCTTCCACTCCTGCCTCCCAGGCTCTTCATTTACTCATATTTTAAAGG